TCCGCGGAATCACAACTCACTCTGTTAGTGTGACGAGGGCTATCTGTGGGCCAGGGGTCAGGGGTGTGAAGGGAGAAGCACACTCCATGACCCAGAGTAGTGGGGAGGAGGCATCCCCTCCTTCATTTTAAAGAGGTGGTGGGATGGAACAGAAGGCTGCTCCCCAAGAGTTTATAAAAGGAGAAATAAGGATTTCCTTTGGGACTTAGTCTAGCCAGGAAACACTGAAGATGATTAGAAGGGAGACTTGTAAATCACTTTTATATTAATTTGACGTTTGTTGAGCACCAAAAATGTGCTACATTCTTCTCTGAGAGTTTTACAGAAATGAATCCTTCAATCTTCTCAACAAGCGAGTAAGGAAGGTTTGATTGTTATCCCAGTTTTACAGTGTGGAAATTGAGGCACACAGAGGTTAAGTAATTTGGCCAAAGTCAGAAAACTAGTAAGTGGCAGAGCTGGTGTTATAACCCTGGCTGTCTGGTTTTGAGGCTCACAGAGATGAGCTTTGGTTGTTTAGAGGTACCTGCATGCCTTGATCTCTGTACCTCTGTGCATCAGTTAGCCCAGAAAGACAGAGAAAGGAGAGTTACACAGGTGCTCACAGTCGAGTATCGGCCACTGTCCATGAAGAGTGCACCGTGATTAGCGTTAATTGTTTTCCAGGCAGTAGAACTTTCCGTATAACAGAAATTTAGTCCATTGAGTTAATCTAGAAACCCTTCCTGCTCTGCTTCTGTCCATGCTTGCCATGTGACTGCCTGCCCGTGATTAGGCCGTTGAGGAGAACATGTACTCATGGTTGAACTCTGATATTGCAGTCTGGTTCATAGTTTCACGTCTTCTGTTACATTAATAAGTTAAGTTTCTGGTTTTCTTGCATCAGTGTCTCATGAGTTTGATTAATATGAAACCAGTCCATGGGAGCCCAAGGGTGCTGACTGCATAATTTTTGAGCACGTTGTGGCACTTCTACCCATGCAGTCCTGACTGGAGTATGTCCGCCTTCCGCACTGATTTCCCCCAACAGCAGGGTCCTATCCCACACCCGGATGTGAGGCTGGGAGCTCTCTGAGTAGGCCAGTCAGAGACCAAGTCCACTAATCAGAAAATGATGAAGTACCTGAAAGTGGGCTTAATAGAAGAAAAGGGCTTCCAGGAAGTCCGATGGGCTGTTCAAGTCCATTTGGTGAGAAGCTGTCCACTCTCTGTGGTTGAGCTGCTTCTTTGCTGTTGAAAAGTCTGGAGTAGATAAAGGGTCTTTAAAAAGCAGAAAGGAGTGATTTCAGGTGGTACATCCACACTGGTGAGAAGTGATGGATGACCACCTGTGTGAGGCATAGACAGAGTCCTACAAACTTCATAAAACAACTTTAAAAGCTCTTCCATCTGAGTGCAGTTCATATGGGGTCCAGTTTATCACTGGTTGCGCTGAGCGGGCAAGTAACTGATGATGGCAGAAAGGACACGGAGGCATCAAAACGGTCTCAGTCATGTTCCCTGTTTAAAGGATGTGGCACAGTGTAATATATTTTAGCTGTTTTTTCACTGAACAATTTTTAGTGTTTTCTGGGACTCCTCAGTGCCCTAAGGTTCCATGCAGCTGGGAGTCCCCTCTGTGCAGCTCCGTCAGCGCTTGCCCTGGGCTGACGCGGTGTCCCGGGGAGCAGGACGGTCAGCGTCCCCGGCTCCTCCGAGCCCCGTCTCCTTATCTGCAGGGCCGGGTTTCTCATCCGTGTCTACTTAGTAGGGTTGCTGAGAATCACACGTGATAGTTATCAGGTGTGATTTGTGGTTGTCTCTGTGATTGGCTTATAGTCAATATTTGATAGAAACACTTGTTTTTTTATTGTAATTGTGGCTTTTATGTTGCAGTGGTTTTTAGTCTGTATTTTTTTATAACTTTATTCTTATTTTTAAATGTGCCCTTATTTTTATTTATTTTTTTGGAGGTGCTGGGGACTGAAGCCAGGACATTGTGCGTGCTAAACAGGTGCTCTACAACTGAGTAATAGCCACTCTCCTTGTCTGTACTTAAAAATACATATTGCAATACACAAAAGAGCTCTTAAACACCATCATGGGACCTAGTCTCTGTATAGGCAATTGAACACGTATACTATTTCAATAAGAATAAATGTTGTTGGGACATACATTTCTGAATCTTTTAATGTGCTTAAAAACGATCATAGCTGGTGATAAACATGAGACTTGGATCCAGTACTTCTTAGGTTCTGTTTTGCCATCATGGGAAATTACATTCTACAGAAAAGACTAATTGGGTCTCTTTGATATTTGGATGGTTTAGCAGATGATCAAGGCTTTCGAAAGCTGACAGTTTTGTATTTTAGACTAACTGCAAATTTATCTTCTAGAAGTTGGAAGTCCTAAGCTTTTGAAGTGCCCAGTAATCCAGGGGGTAGGTGTCTGTGTCTGTGTCTGTGTGAACGTTTGTGTGTGTGATTTCAGGAAGGTAGAAATAAGTTCCATATAGTCTTCTGATACCTTTCTCCTCCAGTTCAAGGTATAGGCATATATTTACAAAAATAAATTGATTTTCTTTTGTCATTTGGCATATTGGTGGGAATAAGTGGTTCTCAAACATGTTTCTGAAGTGTTGCGGAGCATGAGCTTAGAAAATGGGAGGAGAAAGAGGCAAGGAGGCACTTCACACTTTATGCAGGATATGAGAAACAATAGTTTTTCTATTCTCTTTTCTTCTAAAGCAAACTGGCACTGAAATGTAACATACTATTACTCAGAATTTCTTTTCTAATCAGATACAAGTGCCTCAGGTTTTTCAAGGCAACATGAATGATGAAATGTGTTTTAGCATTTATCTTTAAAAGTAGTTTTATTTTTCAAGTAAAAGGCTATAGCCTATTCTTTCTTCCAGCGGCACAAGAAATTCTCATTGATCTATGTACATGATCTATGTGCTTAGTTACTTTGGGTTTTTTTGTTTTTTTAAGTGCTTGTTTCATTGTGGTGTGAATGAATGTTTAAATTTTTTTTTGGATTTTATCTTTAGAATATGCTGATTTATCAGAACTTTTAAAAACCTGATTGTTCTTTGGTCGTTGTTTGGTGGGGCACCCTATTGATTTCTGCTGTCTGTTAAAGAGGGAAATTCTTCCTCTAGCCTGCAGATCATTAAGTGAATGTTTTGCAGTGTGTCTTTAAATTTCATTGAATGCATTGAGCATGTTTGTCCAGTGAATTTTGAATTCACTCATAGTATTACTTTGCTTTGGTTCTGTGGCTTTTGCTCCTCTCCACAAGAATTTGAATTCTCTGTTGCATTTTTATACGTGTTCTTAACAGGGGAAGATATTTTGCATTTTTTACAGAGGTGGGTGTTCCCATCCCCTCTGAATGTCTTCTGTAATTGATACAACAAAAATCTTTTATTGCAGTGCTAAATTATTTCATAAACTATTTTTTGGCTTAATCAGAAACAACGACAATGAGTGATAATAAAATGTACGAAAACCTTCCTTCCTTTGAAGAATATAAATCAGGTGGTTAGGCTCACGCATGCTTTGTGCCTGACACACTTAATCTCATGTCATTGTGTATCATGATTTGGAGATGGAAATACTTCAGGTTTATAGATTTTTGTTTTAACATTTGTGTTGAATTCTTTCTTCAGGCTGATGTTTTCCGTTGGGTTTGTGGAAAGTGTAGAAGAAGGGAAACAAATGCTTTGTTTTGTTTTCAGGAGGCCTGAGTTGCTGATGATAAAAGAATTGAGGGTGGGCTGAGGGAAAGAGTGAGACTCCCTCTCCTCCCGGCTGAAATTGATGAACAATGAAATCAATTAAGTGTATCGGTATTTGACCAATAGAAGTTAGCGAGACCAAACTGGCTAGTTATGCACAATGGAAAGTATTGAATTCACCTGTAGAGTTAGGTGTTTTACCAAGTAGCAGCAGCTTAGAGCAATGAGAAAAATCAGTCCTATGATGAGCTATAAAATTTATATAATATCTTTTATTTCTGAAACTTTTCTACTGTAAGATGTGTAGAGCTAAAATTAAGTTTCAAGCACCAGGAGTTAAGAATGTGGGAGGTTCTGTGGGATCGTTATTCAGGGATGTGCCTAGACCCTGCTAGAGTGGCTGAAGCTGGCAGGAAATGACCCAAAACCAGGATTTGTCATCCCAGGGTGTTCTCCATAATGGTTCCATTTGGGAGTCCGTGATTGGGTTAATAAATTGTAACAGACCCCAGCCGCCTGTCAACTTTAAGAAGAAAAAATATGCTTAGTAACTGCTTTGCAATCAAGCGCCTGTGCATCCTCACTCCTGTCTCCTTGCCTTAAAGAGCAGAGACAATGCTTTGCTTGCATAGATGAGGTTTTAGATAGCTCTCTGCTCATTGCAAAGCAAGGACCCAGGACCTCAGCTATAAAAGCTGGGCTTGTGTGCTGTTAGATAGTCTGTTACCCCCAAAACAAGGACCTGGCTGGTCTGGTGGTCTGCTTTGTAATTCACATATCTAAAGAATGTATTTTGTTCCCCTCACCCCATGACTTCCCTAAAGATACACTAAGACTATGTACTCATGGTGGATTCTACAATCTCTGTCTCATACAGAATTTGCCCAATTTCCTGCTTACTATCACACAACTGTTAATGACTATTTCCTTTGATTAAACACAATAAATATGGGAGAATTTGAGAGGCTCGTGGAGTTGGCTCCCTACTCCCTATCGATTTCTGGATTTTTTCCACAGTCTTGAATATTCATTCCGTGTCAGTAAAACTTCTGCCAGCCAGAACCCACAGTTCCAGGTGAGAAGGATGCAGGTTTATCTCTCCTACCAGAGGGAGAGAGAGAAGATAATTGAGATCTGCTTCCTTGTGATTCACCTGAAGCCTTCTGGACTCTGCTCACAGGGCCTCTGTCCCAGGACTGACCACAGCCTTTTCTTCCCTTGTCAACATTTCCTGTGCCTTTCAGAAGTTGGTCTCTTCTCTACAATTCAATCCTGGCAGATGTGATGGTGGTCAGCGTGCTGGTGGGCAGTCACTTGTGGCTCCAAGGAGCCATGCTGATTCTCCTGAGTCTCTCATTCGGGATTACAGAAAAATCGAGCACCGGAGGAAGCCCATTCACGTGAGGTCAACACAGCATTGCATCACTTTCTTTTTATTTTGGAATTTTCAGTGGAGAAATTTCTTGTAGCAAACTATTCCAGATTTTCGGCCGCCTGCTTTCCTCACCACCATTTCCTTGTTGGCTCTGGTGCTTGTTTGAAAAACCAGGTTTCTTCTCTGGTCATTTCTAGCAGCTGGGCTTGCCGAATCCTTGATTTTCATTTGAAGCAGAATGCTTCTTCGTGATGTCAAACTGATTTTCCTATTTGTGAATATTTCGTGTACACTCAGCAACTGTTTCAAGTGAAATGCTCTTATCCAATTTCGGTTAACTCACATTTGCTGATCTCCTGCTTTCATGCTGAGGGCAGTTTCTTCTTCCTGTAATAAAAGCTAGCAATTTGCATTTACTATGGGAAGGTACTGGCCCGAGGTGCTTTTGTTCTTAACAGTTTTAATACAATTCACTCATTAACATATACAGTGGTTTTTACCCTTTGCCTAGAATTGTGCATCCCAGTGAAACTTAGAACATTTTCATCCACCCAACAGGAAGCCCCGTAAGCATAAGCAGTCTTTCCCATTTTCCCCATCCTCCCCCAGCCCCAAGGAGCCACTCTTCTCTCTCTGTGGATTTGCCTGTGTTAGACATTTCATGTAAACTGAGTCATTTCATGTAAATGGAACCGATTATTGTGACTGACTTCTTTCACACTGAGTAACGTTTTCAATGTTTGTCCACGTTGTGGCCTGGGTCAGTACTCTATGCTTTGCTATTGCTGAATAATATTCAACTGTATGGCTGGGCACCACTGTTTACCCATTCATCGGTGATAGGCATTTTGGTTGTTTCTGCTTTTTGGCTGTGATGAATAATGGCGCCGTGAATATTCCTGTAGGAGTTTTTATGTGGACATTTCTTTTCAGTTCTCTTAACGTGTGTGCCCAGAGAGCAGAATTGCTGGGTTATTCAGAAACCAAATATTTAACTCTCTGAGGCCCTGCCAGGCTGTTTTCCAAAGTGACCACGCTGTGTTACATCCTCACCAGCAAGGGCTGCGAGCTCCACTTATTCTGTGTCCTCATTACTGCTTATTACTCTTTTTTTATTATAACCTATTGTAGTGAGTGTGAAGCAGTTCTCCTAGTGGCTTTGACTTTATTTCCCTTAAAGCTAAAGATATTGAACATCGTTTCATTGTGCTTATTGACCATTTGTATATTTTCCTTGAAAAATACCTTTTCAGATCCATTATTCACTTTTTAATTGAGTTGCCTTTCTATTGTTGAGTTTTAGGAGTTTTTTTTTTCTTATCTGGAGATACAAATTCCTAATCAGATAAATGATTTGAAAAAATTTTCTCCTGTGTGTTTTTTTTTCACTTTCTGTATGGTGTTCTTTGAAGCAAAGTTTTAAATTTTCATGAACTCCAATTTATCTCTGTTTTCTTTGTTCCTTGTGCTTTTGGGGTAATATTTAAAATCTGAGGTATTTTATTTAAACTTTTATATATAAAATAACTTAATTCTTAGGACCGTTCTAGGAGATGGGTGCTGTTGTTCTTCCCAGTCTGTGGATAGGAGACTGAAATGCAGAAAATTTGAATGACATATCAGTGTCACAGCTACCCAGTGTTGTGGGAGTTCAGACCCTCGTGTTTTTCCCCAGCATCTGTGCTCTTCCCCACCATGCTCCACTCTTTCCTGGAATCGTTAATGAAAAAGACTTTCCTTTTTTGATTTCTTGTTAGTTTGTTTTCTCATTGGGGACCTCATCTCCTCATTTTCCTTGCAGAGGTCAGTGTAGCTTTATTTTAGGTCTCATGTAAGCAGAAGCGTTGCTATCAGTTAACTTCTTTATTACTCACCCTCGAGTGATGATTGTTGCTAGTTGACCCAATCAATTCATGCTTAATTCTCTCCTGCTCATGACACTAAAAACAGTCATGACTTACAGAATGCTCAAAGAAGAAAGTACCTGATTGATTTCATTTTGCTACCCAATCAAACCAATCAAATAAAAACCCCGGTGTTGGCACAGATTCTAAGCCCTCCAGAATATGGTCACTGCCTTCCTTGTGTTTCATTTGTTTGGTCACAGTGTCTGGATAGTGCCTTGCTGTCCAGCAGTTTTGTTAGGATACGGTGCTCGTGAATCATTGTAAGGACACAATTTTGACAACAGACTGTGTTGTTCATTTCACAAGGGAAAAGAGCATATAGACATACTGCTCAGTTCTATTTTAAAATTAAGCTTGGAATTTTGAGAAGAGTTCAAGAAACCATACAAAGCTCTTTTTCAATAACTTTAGATCTATCTTAGACACATTATGGTTACATAACAGAGTAACTTATCAACTAAATTTGACAAGAAGAGTGTATTATTGATTATTTGTTTTAGTTGAAATATTCTACCTAGGATAAAGTAATCAGTGCCCATAAATGAACAACTATGTTTGTATTTCTATGCAACATGGGAGCAGACTTCATATGTTTCTAAATAATATATATGACTGTGTGTTTTAATCTGTCTGTCAGTGTTTTTATAGTTTTTCAGCAATATTGTAACTTTAGAATTCTTCTAAGAAAATCACCCCGATTCTAGTGCAGTTTGTAATGTGTATCCTGTCTTATGCATGGGATTCCACTGTCCCCTAAGTGAGGAATTTCCTCTCCTATTGAGTTAGTTGCAGAGTTAAAGGAACTGTGATTTCTAGGCCTTTGCTCTCCATGTGTTTGAAGTTGGCTGTCAACCACGATTTTCCCTTTCTTGAGTTTTCATTGTTAAATTAGAATTATGGAAATAACTATTAATATGTTGCATCGGTCTCCCTAGAAACTTGATGTGTTTGTGCTTTTCAGTTTTCAATTTATGAAAAATTTAAATGCACTCTTTTTTTTAAGTAGTCCTTTCTCACTACATATTTGTTTAACTCTTTATAGTTAAAATATTTTTCCCAATGAATGAATCGGTGTGCATGTTTTAAAAGATACGTAACTTTTTAGTTTTCTTATTGTAACAGTTATATTCATTGTAGAGAATTTGGAAAATAAGGATAAACACAATAATAACTTAAAGATGGCATCTAATCTCACCTGGAGATACAGTTGTAAGGATTGAAATTGAGAATTACAAGACCTCTCACGTTGTTCTTCTTCTTCAAGTACGTTTTGGTTACTTAGATCCTCGAATTCCCATATGAATTGTAGCAGCAAGCAGTCAGTTTCTGCAGAGGAGCCCGCTGGGTTTGTGATCGAGACCACGTTGAATATACGGATCGCTCTGGGGAGCACTGCCATTTCAAGAGCGCTGTCTTCTGATCCAGGAATGTGCGTGGTGTGTCTGTCCAGGTATTTAGGTCTTCTTTAATTCTTTTCAACAATGCGTTGAGTTTACAGAGTATTAATTTACTTTTTTTTCTTTGCCTTTATACTGAGGACAAGTGTGCAAGGTACCGGGATCAGAAGTGTATTTGAGCCCCGCCACTTGCTGCCACCATGGACGCTGCGCTCTTGCTTTGCCCTCTGTAAAATCTTCCACAAAATAAGACCTCAGTAACTCTCTCTTGAATGAATGATTATATGATTGTTGGATGATGCTTGAGAGGTCTTGTGATGATGTCTTTTTCCCAGCCTTTCCCCTCTTCTTAATTATGCCCTTTCTCTTCCTTTCCTCCAGCCTGGTTTTCAGCCTGCCTGTGGCATTGATTTTCCCTGTCTGTAGACTCTTCCTTTCATTGGTACATGATAATGTTACATGGGGGCTGTGGAAACTTGCTAGATGTCAAGAAAGAGCAAATCCATTGCATGCTAGTATTTTGACTGTGGTATTCTTTTATCGATTGAAATTAAATGAGTCACACCACCTTAGCCCTCCCGTGAGCTCTTTTCGCCTTCCTACAGGTGATACTGCTCTTGTTGCTGCATGTGCCCTGCCCCCAGCCTTGGTTTTGGAATTGAGAAAGTCACCCTCAGTGGAGCCCTCTCTTTAAAAGTTGAAGAGAACATTTGCTCCTTCACCCTGTTTGGGGACTTGGATGAGATGAGGTACCAGATAAAGAATGGAGCCCCTCCTCATTGTGACCCCTGCTCTTTCCGTTCCTTTCTCCAGGGGACAAGAGTACAATTCAAAAGTATAAAGATTGATTGTGAGCTAATGAGATAGACAAGACAACCGAACATTAATTAAATATCCTTTCATGCCAGAAACAAATGTATTATACACACAAAAAGCACATAAAGCACTGTAGTACTATGGTTACAAACATGGGTCCGAGTTTGAGTCCTGCTCTGGAGTGACCAGCCCTGTGAGTTGGAGAACTTGTAGGTCGGCTTAGCCTCTCCCGGACTTGTTTTCTGCCCTACAGAGACGGGGCTCGCTAGGCATCCCTCCCCCGTAGAGGTGTTATGGTGTGTAAATGACACGCGTGGGCAGCCTGAGCACAGCAGCTCGTTCCACATAAGTGCAGGATAGAATGGATTTGCGGAGATGGCTCTATGACCGCCCCGTGTAGACTCTCAGTGCTCCAAAGGGATGCCTTGTGGTTTAGAGATGGGATTCTCACTTCTGTAAATACCCAAGGATTGTGTTATTTGGCCCTGCTTATTTGAATGTATTCTTTAGAAAGTACATATTGTAGATATATTTTTCAAGCATGCATGCTTTTTTCTTTTATTGTTTATAGTTCTACCCTCTCGTCACTTGGTGTGACATTTCATGGAATCCAGGAAACAGTCCTAAGCTACCTGCCTCTTCACACTTCTCCAGGGTGATTTTCTTCCCAGACTAGAAGAGGGTTTTGCATAGGAAATTTTCTTTGTTCCCCTTTTCTTGGAGTCTCTCTGTCTGTCTGCCCATCTTTCCTGTCCATCTGTCCATTCCTCTACCCACTCATTCTTCTGACTTGTTCCAAGAAGCATTTCAGGCAGCTTACAGAAGAACAGATACCAAATAAACAGGTGAGAAAATAGGGCCAAGTTCAGACAGTGAGGCTAGGAGGCGAGCCTGTGTGAGGGTTGCAGATGTGAGACACACACCTCTGCCCTGTCATTTATAAGATGGACAGCAAGATTGTGCCTGAGGCTCCCACCAGACACAGGGTAACAGGGTTTATGGGAAATGCTCACTGGTTGTGAAATAAATAAGTGGCTTAGGAGAAGCCTAGTCTTTCCAGCTACTAAGGCTTAGGAGAATATATTGAGTGTCTTCCAAAATCAGAGTATTTCATCGTTTCTTTTGTCAGAGTTCTATGTATAGTTGGTTACATACTATATCTGGAAATTTCTCCAAAACTTCTTCCCACGTGAGTCCCGTGGCTCAGGAAAGGGGTGGTTCTGCTCATTGACGGGGGTTGGCGAGAAACAGAAAATGACAGCCACAAAGGAGCCTGCGATTTCTCAGTTATGTTTTGTCAGTGCTGTACTTTTCAGAAAATGCTTTCACAGTTTCTCTCCATCTGAGGCGGCAGCGTGCTCTCTTACCAGCATCAGGAGCTCAGGGCCACGGGATGGTTGGGGCTGACTGCACTGCCATCAAGACAGCTAAGGTAGTCACTGCAGGCGTGGTGCTTTTACGTAGTGCATTTCATGTTCTTTAATAGAAGGTTTCAACAGGGAGTTAATTGAGTTAATTAACATTTAATAAATATGATGCTGTTTTGAAAAGTCAGTTATAGGCAGAATATAAGCTGTGTAGACTTAAAAAACGGTTTCATTTCTGAAATTTCAGTAGGGAAAATTCACAGTTTATCTTATTTATGCCTCTCTTATAAAGTAACAAAGAATCAAGACAGAAAAAGCAGAGGATGATTTCTGTTCTTCGTCTCGGCTTGCAGGTGCCCCTACCTCCAGTGGCATCCATCCAGACACCAGCAGTGACACTGGCCGTGCTCAGAACTGCCTCAGCCCTGAAGACACAACTGACAAATAGAAGGGGACCACGTCCTGTTACAGCAGGTGCTCTCCCTTTGTGGGTCCTTTATGTAACTGCGCGGTGTTTTTCAGGATCGCCCGTTCCACATTGTTCGACGCTACTGCGGTGTCTCCTAGTTACTTGTTTCTGTAAGTACTCGTGTATTTTCTCCAATGTGTGGTACTAGACATCTGAAAATGCTTTTTTCAGATGAAAACTAATGTGTTTT